TCCTCTGACATATTTTGTTTGCAATATGATTTAAACAACACATTATGTAAAATTCAAATACTATGCATTTGACCACTATTTAATTGCTAAATATAAGTACGCAGTTAATGATTAGCTAAACTTATTGGATGTCTAGTTGTTTAATATTAATTGTGGAAATGATAAGAGCAGCGAGGTTAGTTCTCAGAAACACTCTGAATATGGTATTTGGTTTGATATTTTATTATCCTATATTACAGTGTTTTGACTGTTCTTGGGCCCACTGTATATATTTATCTTTTTGTTAGTTTTAATTACTGTTAAAATCATAATGCACATTTAAATGCACAAAAAAAAATTCTACAATAGTAGAATTTTGTAGAATAGTAGAAATTCTGCATGCAACATTCTGCAGTCTACAATATCTGCTGCTCAAAAGAGGCCTCTCTGGGTAACAGCTGGGAGGCCACTATGGCTTTCACGGTCTCAAACTGAAAAGGGGCCCCCAAAAACAGTGTACCATTGGCCATTATTAGCTGTTAGTAAATCATCGTGTAATAGCTACGCAAAACTAGAATTTGGAGAAGGGACCAAAATGATGGTTCTGGGTAAGTCTGAATTTGAAAACTCTTGAATTGTACTAGTAGACATCATTCAATAAATCTACTTGTATGATTTGTGAAATGCAGTAAAATGGGTCATATTGTACATGTCATGGAAATGAAAAAAAAAATGGATTGGTTACAGAAAACGTACATAGACCACTAAAATATGAATGTACAGATTATTTTATCCATGTAAAATGCTTATTTATTCGTTAATGAATACATTTTTATTTATTCAGTAAATGTATTATTATTAATAATATGTTAATTCCCTATTTATTTTCAAAGAGGTAATAAGGGAGCATTTAAGAAGAAATAAATTAAGTCCATACATAAATGTAAAAATAGAGGTATTTAAAATAAGTTACAGGTGTTAAAAGCATAACAACAATTTGAAACTGCACAAACCAAAGCAACATTAAATGTATATTTAAACAAAGCAACTCTATATAAGTTGTTGTGTGCATTCTTTGGATGGATACAGTGTTTCATCCGCATACAGTAAACAAAATAATCATTGTATAAATAAATGAATTCACCAGCCTTTGCTCTGAATGACCAATCAAAATCAAGTACTTCATTGATGCATGTAATATTTACAAGAGTAATTACATAGTAATTGTTGCAAATGAATCTTCCTGATTATCCGCTTTCCTTCTCAAGCTGCAAACATCACTCTACCTAAAGTCAAGATCCTACCACCTTCTCCAAAAGAACTCTGTTCCCAGAACAAGACAGATAAATGGTCAACTTTAGTGTGTGTGGCCACAGGCTTTTATCCTGATCATGTGAGCGTGTCCTGGAAAGTGAATGGCGAAGAGAGACAGGACTGGGTCTCAACTGACACCTCAGCCCAACAGGATAAGACAACATTAATGTACCATATGAGCAGCAGAATGAAAATTGATGACATGGACTGGATAGATCCCAAAAATAACTTCACCTGCACCGTCCATTTCTTCAACGGAGAGGATTGTGTCAATGTCACGAACACCATAAATGGTCAAAAAGGTGAAAATGCACCATTAAGCTGGATAACACACACAC